ATGAGGTGCACCTCCTGCCAGTTCCAGCACTCAGATTTTAAAAGCTTCAAAAACTCTGACAGGCTGCTCTTACATCATGGCTGATTATATAAGGGGAGTGGTTTGGGAGCTGCTGGTGGTGTTTTATGTTGTGAAGCTGCAGACATTCCACAGATGGCACCGTGGAATGATGGCTCTGTGGTGATGAGAGACATTCTCTCCATTTTCCATTTTGGTCCATCACTCGATTGATCCCTACGTTAAATCTTTCATGCATGACGGTAAAATTGGAAGCGATCACTCCATTCAGAGAAGAAAATGCTGAAAGTGCTTATGATTAAACAGTAATCTCCCATCATACATGGCGCACAATGAAGAATAGTTTCCAAAAACTGAGCAGCATGTTCTTGGCATAGCACTTAGCTTTCTGTAAATGGCAGCAGAAACTGCTAGCATGCAAAGGGCAGGACCTAAACCATGAAAGATTCACTGATTCTCTTCATTGATGGATAAATCTCTTTTTTTCTCCCCAATTTAGTTATGGACAATTCTGCCTGCTAGCTAGAACTTCCCCATCACAACGTGCTACTGAGACTGTGCTACTGTGCTACATGAGCAACAATTTTCTGTGAGACATGTGAAGTCAGCCACCACTTTTTGAACTGCTGCTAATGCAACATCATCGGACAGCTCAACAGGCTTGGAGGAGAACACTAATTGCTTAATCTGGTACGCCAACAAAACACCATACTGATATATGAAAAGCAGGGCCAATTATCCTCTCTTGGGCTTCTAATGTGGATGGCTGTGGCATCACCTGGGATTGAACTCATTAATGTGGTTGCACTTGGGAGCCATAAATGTTGTAAAAGGTTGCAAAATGTCTTTCGAGCAATGAACAATGTCTGCAAATGTAAACTTTGTCCAGCAGCACTGCTGTGTCTGATCCACTTGTACCAGCACAACACACACTAACACACCACCACCACGTCAGCCACTGCAGTGCTGAGAATGATAGACAACCCACACAACACCTGGTCTGTGGTGGTCCAGCAGGGGTGATGACCATTGAAGAACAGGGGGCTAACAAAGTATGCAGAGAAACAGATGGACTACAGTCTGTAATTGTAGAACTACAAAATTCTCCTATATGGTTAGTGGAGCTGATAAAATGGACAATGAGTGTACATACAAGTAGGAGTTTTTAATGACATGGCTGGTTGGTATATGTCATGGTAACTTCTACAAACCTCTTCTCCATGTACTATTAAACCTGTTGTTTTAAAAGCCGCTTTGAATAGTGTCACTGTACAGTGTCCCCTTAAGGGAGCCATGCTGCAGAATAAAAAAGAAGGGTCTCTTCAAATTAACTCTCGGTTAATGACTTTCCCCCAGTAACCTCTACTACAAGGACAGGACACAATGCTGGGTCATCAAACAGGTGCAAATGGTGCAAACTAAAACACAAAAAAATTCAGGAAGGGCTTTACTTATTAGATAGCACTCAGGTGAATACTGTAGCTGTCTGAATGGACATCATTGTAATACTCTGCTTTTATATTTAAATATTTTGACTATTGTTACCGTAAAAATTGCAACAAAGAGGCACATCAATCAATATTACATTAAGAAGAATAGATGTAAAATAATGCTATGGACTCTGTAAAATATGGAGTATTTTGCATTGTTCACCATTTCATAGCATTGCAGTGGTTTTATTATTATTTACCATTTTCTTAAATACCACTAAGCAGTTATTTTTAAATAAACAAAATGATGACATTACATTTCCAAAATCCAGTATGAAAGGACTGAATTCTTATCTTCATCATGTGTTGCACGACTCCATAAAATTAATCACAGAAACATAGATAATTGCCTTATTTTCACAGGTGAATGTACTGTTTGATACATCCTGTGTAATTTCCAGAGTGAAAGCTCTGTTGCAGCTGTCCACATCACAGCGCTCATCCTACACCTGTCCACCTAAATCAAATTTCAGCTCATGTTTTGGGAGATGCAATCTGCCACATAACCTTGAAATTGGACGAGAGGCACCATCACTCAAAACGTAATGTTTATCAAGAGGTCCCTCACCATGTGCCACCATCAAATAGTTTTTGATTTTCGTGAGCCAAATTTTTAAGATTTATAGGCTTTCTTTGCCATACAGTAGACAGCAATAAAAAACGCAAGAGACCAAAATCACTCATACCTTCTTCAGTTGAATGACAGAACAGAAGAAGAATACGTTTGTCCACTCTGCACTTCAGACAGCACTGCTGGCCAAACTGTCCTCATTCACATGTTAAATGCACTTGTTAAAATTGTTGAGTGGTAAATTCTGAAAAGACAGATTTGTTCTTTTACAGCACCAGCCAGGAGAACCTGACTACATGTGAGTCTCCTGGCCTTCACTTAATGAAGAAGAAGCGAATCCATTAGTTAGCAGCAATAACAGAGCCTGTCTCAATGACTGAGTAGGTGAAATGGAGTTGCTCACAAATATCTCATCGTTTTGACAGGCAGTCATCTACACTCTTAGAAATAAAGGTTCTGAAATGGTTCCCTGTTTGCTTTAATGGTTCAGTATAGAATCTTTACATTATGTGGAGATTCTTTAAAACTTTCTTCACTCTTACACATTTCAATTATGCTTCTTTAAAGTCAGCGTGAATTGGAAATCGAAGTGTGTTCTGCTTCCATATTGTGACATATTTCCAAGTGAAACTCACTATGAGGGTCTCTCGATGATGGCTAGGAGTGGTGGAAGGGAGAAGTGAAAAGATATTATTAGTAATTTCATCCAATTTACTATTGTTTTCTGATTCTTCCCATTTTTTATGCTTTTGTTCTGGATTTTTGTTGACTAACTTGTCAGGCAGTTTTTGAGAAATCAACACTGTTCCAACTCCAGAATAATTGGTCTCATTGAGAATGGCATGCTTGTGTACAGCTTATTGATTGGACAGAACAGAAGACGAATACATATGTCCACTTTTTTGTTTCTGTACAATTATTGTTCAATGAATTTTTTTTCCCATTGGAATGAATGGGAGGCAAAAGTTTGTGCACCCAGCTTATATCACGATTATACCACTCCATTAGCAACACCCTATAAATCATGTGGGATATGATAGCAATCACCAGCAACCACAAAGCAACCCCCTAGCAACCACTTGGGATACCATAACAACCACCCAGCACCTAGCAATACCTCAGCAACTTCTTGAGATGCCATAGCAACCTTATAGCAACCCCCTAGCAACCATCTGGAATACCTTAGCAACCTTTTAGCACCTAGCAATATCTCTGCAACCACTTGAGATAGCCTCCTCATTACAACACCATAGCAACCACCTGTAAAAACCTTTGTAACTGCATAGCAATGCCCTAGCAACAATTCTCAAATTGCTTAAGCTGTGCAACCACTCTGCATTTTCTTCAGGAAATGCATTTTCTAGTTTGTTACTATTATTTTTCTATACCTGCTGGTGCACAGTGACATAATCAAAAGTCATGAGACATTTTAGAGGTAGGCAAAAGTCAATAGTAGATTTTGATCAAAGAGTATGAGGAAACAAGAATTTTGTCTTTGAACTAGCTTTTATGGCACTGCTTCAAATAACCTTTTTTGACACTCTTATTTTTAGATACATCTGACACTCCCTTTTAGTGTGCCATGTCATTCACACAAGGCCTTACTGTGAAATTTTACTAGGTCTTTGGTCTGTGAAAGGAAAATGTGGCCTTTTCCTCAGCGCACAGAAAAAAGAAATATTAGCTACCCTTGTGTGACTCATATGCACACTTCCTTTGCATGTAATTTTAGTACTACATCACAGAAGATTCACTGATATTTCAGATGGATGTCGCTTTTTATTTTTGATATTATTTATTTATTTTTTAATTTTAATAACTGAATACAGGCTCTACAAAATGCTTTAAAATTTAAGGAGTTTAAGAACTGAAAATATACACTGCCTGGTATCCTTCTCAATGTATGAACAACTAATAAAGTCTTAAACATTTATGTGTTATTATATATGGAGTTCTCTGCAGTGCTATCATGGAAATGTGATTGAAACAAATAGCCTGTATGTTTCTGTTCTATTATCTTAATTAAGTCTATTAATTTACTCGGCTGTGTTTAGTATTCTTTGGTTACCATCTTCTGATTCTTGGGTGCCATTTTCTGATTCTGGTTGGAATCTTCTGATTCTTATACGACAAAGATGAAAGTCATGCTAAGCCTTTAAACAGCAAATGTTCCAAATAATGTTCTAAATCAAGAACCTGTCCTATTCATTTAAACTGTATTCTGTTTTTAAGAGACTGGTGGTAGAGGCTATACACGCCTCTGTTCAACACTTTATTGCCAAGAGTTCAATGCCATCCAATCTCTTTTGGAAACATACTTTTCATACTACTGAAAACCCCGTAATCTCCAACCTTCCTACCTAACAAGATGGTGCTGAGTATGGCTACCATGTTGTGAGCTCCCTTCACTCCTTTTAGTTTTTTGTTAATTGTGTGTTTATTTGTAACTACTTTAGCACTAAATGTTGCCAGCACCTTCGTCAACACTTTTGATATGTATAATATATGCATACATATTTTTTTTCTTCTTATATATTTTTTGTATATTTACGTACTACAAGGGGGCTACACACCTTAAATTTTCCCTCACCTTCACACCTGTGAATGTGATATGATCATAAATGTGATTTGATTTGATTAGATTGAAAAATGCTGAAGTATTCCTCTAAAACCAGGAGAACTAACATCATCTTATCCAACAATGTGAAAAATGTAAACACAATAGCTGTTTGTTGTCATCACTTAGTGCTTCTACATGCCTAACATTTACTTACTAGATGATGATGATGCCAAGCCCCATTCAGCAGACTGGCCCAGCCAGACAGATTTTCTGTGGTTATGGATGCTGATGTCACTTCCTGCATGGGCATGATCGTACAAGAAGGAGGAGAGCTCTGATTGGCTGCCTGCTTGCCTGTTTCCTGAGTAAACAAAAACAGTGAGACTGGCTGTTGGGCAAGTCTGGGCCCTGCCTGTCTTTCTCTCTGTCTCCCTGCCTGTCTGTGCGTCTGTCTGTTGCACAGTTGAGCTGAGCTACAGAAACAGATGTTAAAGGGTATAACAACATCCTGTGTGTGTGTGTGGTGTGGTGCGAGAATTGCTTCACGCAGCGTCTGCCTGGAGCAGAGAAGGGGAATTCGGGACAGGAAGTGGAAAAGTGAAAGCGTTTGAGAGGCATTTTAAAGTGTCTGAGAGGAGTTTCACATACAGACAACAACAGCGTCCCATCGAAGAATGATGGACAGTGGCTATGAGATCCTTTCCAACAGCGGCTATGCAGATACATGCAAAGTTACCATGACAGGCAAGTTACGCATGAGAACTTTCAGTGCAGTTTTTGTTGTTGTGGGCATGTACATGACAGAGATGATGTCAGAGGCTTGGTCAAAGTTTTGTACGTTAACAATTCATACAGTTTCTGACACAAACAGAAATGTGGCATAGTGTCACTATGGGCTACCTAAAATGTCTATTCTTTGTTGCAAATGTTATGTATGAGTGTTATTGTTGTCCACTAAAAGTATATTTATCTACTCTGCCGAAGCTAAAGCTTTCAGTAATCCAGCTTTTGCAGTTGAAGTGAGGCTATTATTAACACATACACAGCCTAAGCACCAGGGTATTCTGTGAATAATGTGTTAATAATAGTGTTCCACAAACACATCACATTCCTGGCATTTCATGGGATAGAGCACACACAGTCCAAAAACAACATTATCTATGACAGAGGGGATGGTAGAGGAGTATTTGGACACTTTTGATTTTGCTATTTAATATACTTTCAGAGCATATTTCCACTTTCAGATTTACACACATAATGTCATTTGACTTTGTACTTCTGAATACATGATGAAATTTCTGTGATGTTAATCACATTAATTCTGTTGAAACCACAACTTATGAGAAGCCAGCAGTCACTTGAAAATAGTTGAAGGATGACCTGAAAGCAGCAGGAACACAAGCATTCACACAAATCTGAGCTCCTTTGGAATAATGCCTGGTCAGATGAAACAAAAATAGACCTCTTTGGCCATAATTCAGATAATAATGTTTGGATAAAGAAGGATTGAGTGTTTGCTCCAAAGAACACCATACTCACAGTGAAGTATGAAGGTGGGAGCATGAACGTGATATGGGGCAGCTTCTCTACAGAAACGGTACTGAGAGATTACACGTCATCAAGGGAAATATGAATAGAGTAATCTGCCGGGACGTAATGGAAAAGAATTTAATCTCATCGACCAGGAAATTAAATCTGGGAAGATGGACATTTCAAAAAAGACAACGGCCGCAAACATACAGTCTTTCACATACAACTGAGAATGGAGGGATGGGCCAAAACCAAACCACCATATTGTAACGATTGCAGTAAAAATTCAGTCTGGAAGCTGTAATCGCCAACGATGCCTTTGCAGCAAAGTACTAGTGTTATTCATTTTTGGTGTCTGCTTGTTGTTTTTTTCCTAATCATTTTTTTAAACATCGTTGCTGTACAAAGAAAAACATGTATCTTCAAAATAGTCATTTTACAGGAGAGCGCAAAAGTTAATGTAAAGAAATTTTGCAGTTGTGGAGCATTTTAATTGGTAAGATGTAAAAGGCAGTTGCTGTGCTCAAATGATGTAGAAAAGGAAAAAAAAGGCAGTCTTTTCTTTGTTTATGCTTATGAATATATACTTTTTTAATCATATTTATAAGTGCAAAGCCAAAAGACATTATGGGTGTTAATGTGAAGTGGATTCCATATTAAATAACAAAAACAAACGTGTCTGAATACTTTTCCATCGCTGTATTCTACTGATCAAATTCTAAAATATATAATAATTTACCAAACTTTTAGACGCCTTCCTGCTTAATAAATCCCCCTTTCCTGTTTTTATGTTTATTTTTTATGCTTGCTAACTGCCAAAGCCCATTTCTGTTTGCCGCTAGCTTATACAGTGGGCTTAATAGCAGAAACTTTAATACTTTCCTTCAGAACTTGTCCTGAATGTCATTTCAACCTCAGCTGCATCAGACATTTACTGTATATTCAAATTGTTCTCATTAACAGAAGCCCATATAGCTGATAATGACAGCTTCGGAAGTGAGGAATGCAATAAAATGAATGTCAGTGTGAATATCCTTAATGAATATTGATCAAAGCTATAAGCTTAGCATAATTGCGTTTGCCTATCTGGGCCTACTTTCACATAGCCAATGAAAACATATCAATTGCAAATCAAATCAATTCTGTAATTATTATCATGGCTGCTGAACATAGCAATGCAAGTCATAATTAAGAGAAACATCCAAGGCCGACGGAGCCTCCTGTAAGGAGAAAATGATTGCCTATGCATTCATGCGCTTCATCCTGATAGAAGGATTGAATTTCATGTTCACTGCTGTCTTCAAAGTCTTTATTATGCTCTTGTAATCAAAGACTATAGCAAATGGTGTTCTTTCACTGTTAAGTAGACAGGATGCCACTAATTGTATGAGATGGGAACTGTTATTCTCCTAATGTTATTCCTCAAATATGACTCACTTTTAGAGAGAGTGTCTAATGGCAGATGAGCCAAAAACAAAACATAGAATCTGGCTAAATTGGAAAAGTTTCTTCATCATGATCTTTAACCAAGATTACTGAGCAAAAATGGCCACCCAAAACAGGCCTGCACCTCCTCCAAACTTTCTCATAATAATTTTTGACTGTTGAAAGTATGGAGTTTTGTGTACAGATATCCTCTTATTCGTAAGCCAGTCAAGCTATTACTCTTACTCTGCCACAAAAAGTTTGGGGCACCATGCTGCCACCAATACATTCAGAGAATTTGGCCTATTTAGCTTATGTAAATCTGCTGCCAGAGGAGTTACAACATGTACATGTTCAGTTTATACAGTCCGAGCATTCTGTGTGCTACCTTGTTTTCTGTCACTATATAAAAGAAGGACATGCTGCCTTTATTGTTGAATGCACTGTGATTTTTTTCAGAGTGAATGTATGAGCTTGTTCGGAGCTCAGTTTGGCTTGATAAGCACTTTTTATTAATATGTTTAAAATAACTGATGTGTGACATTTTCCTATTCGTGTGTTTTCTTGTTCAAAAAAGTAAAATGCATAAATGTCTATTAATTTTGGCTTTGTTAGATCCAATTCTTTACATATCAAATATATGCAACAATGGCATTAATAACATGGTGAAACTATTTTGAGTGGTTCTTTTTTAGATGAAACAAACACTCAACAGACTCTCAGTAGCATGTCAACATATCAATGATGTAGCAGCAGTGAATACATTCAGTAGATTATCAAGAGACTTTTAATTTGCGTGAATAAAATATGTTTAGAATCTGCTGAACTCAGTTGTTTATCACTTTATTTTGAGGGTCCAAATTCATATGTGTCGATGTTTAATCTGAGGGGTCACTGAACATCTAACAGGTCTAATACAGACCATCTTAACATCCTCAACAATTGGTTATAAACATGCTGCTGACACCATTCTGTAACTGGAGTTTAACTAGATTAGGTTTTTTTTAAAGTTAGGGTTAGTATTAGGACCAGAGTTAGGGTTGGGATTAGGTTTTGGGTTGAGGTTAGAGTTAGGGTTAGGTTTTGGGTAATGGAAGTAACATATTAAGTCTACGTAATATAGCAACACTTTATCTACTTAATGTAAGTAATATGTTTACTCCAGTGTATTCAGATGCTTCACTACTGCTACTTCACTGATATGTTGTTGATGTGTTACTAATACTCAGTTTATTAATCATCTACAAAGGACTACTCAAAATAAAGTGTTACTACATTATTAATAGAGAAGAGCAGATTAAATGGCAGAAATAACTGCTTTTTGCATTAGCCTAAAATACCTGCAGTGGTTCTGTTACCATAAAATGGCTATTTGATTATACTTCAACATTCAGTTTTATGTTCATCAAGTTGTCTTCCTTGGTATGAGGTGCATGTTTTGTCAAAATAATGGTTTGAAAGTTTTCTTTTCCAAACCATTGTTAAAAGCACCTTAAAGAGTTATCTTTAAGCCCAAAGGTAGTTTAAAGAGCTGAAAGCGTTAAGTGCTGATGAGTTCTCACATCACAGCATAGGGTAAAATGCTTAGCCATATTTTCAAGGTTGGGCTTTTGTCAGTTGTTTCTTTAGTTTTGGTATTTTTTTGCAAAGGAAAAATGGTGAGACCTAAACAGCTTTCAATTTTACATGTTAAAACTAGAGTTTAATATGTTATTTGTCATGTTATGCAATATTTATAAGTGTAATATTGTATCTGTCAGCCTCAGTGAATTGACCGAATTTGCAATGTTATGTCATTTTCATGTTTGTTCATCACAGTTCTCTCACTACAATACCCAGCATGCATTACACAAATACATCATACAACCACTGGCAATTCATGTGATGTCAACCAACCATATCCATAACTATTACAGGCTGAGATATAGGCCAATAAATACAACTCAGACAGCTATAGAGTCTTTTTTTATCTCAGCTGTACAAAATCGCAAAGAAAACAATGCTAAAAAGCTTAAAGTAGGTGGTAGAGACAAGATTTTTCCTTTTCAGCTAGAGAAAATAAGCCAATTTGAGTTTAAGTATTTAGATAGCCAGTAGCTACCTTGCTAACTTGTCCTCCACATCTGACAAGGCATTTCTATTTGAGTAATCCATGCTCTTCACTCTAATGATGACATAAATTCATTTACCACAGTTATACTGTCATAACAGTTCAGATTCTTCGCAGTATTGCTAGCTATCTGCATCCACCCCAAAGCAGTTGTAATTCACCCCACCTTCAAAAGGTGTCATCAGAAAGGGTTTTTCCGAGTCTTTAAATGCCAAAATCTTACTCTAGACTACTCAAGTAGGATGCAGTTACAGATATTTACATGTGTATTGATGTAGCAATTGTTACAGATATAGTAATGGTTAAATGTTATTTTGGCCAGCGTGTCCCTTAATGTTATTGTAAGCTGACAATGCTCGTTTATTATTACCCTTTAAAAAGCAAGGTGTCCTCAAAATTTTGATGGTCAGTGTACTTCTTGACTGAGGGCTATATTCTGTACTCAGATCTGAAAAGATCTAATTGAAAGTTCAATCTGTCTCTGACTCCCACAGATCCTTCCAATTGACCTAGTCCTTGGCGTTTGGATGCCTATCATACAGTCCCTATCCATTACAGTACATCTCTGAAAATTGAAACAAATTAACAAAATGGGCTGGCCGCTGCAGCCATGAGCCACGTACGGTTAAAGTGAATTTATGCCTCCCTTGCAAATTGAAAGAGCACTAATGTTTGCTAA